CCCGCCCCCTCGGCCCCACCCCCTCGGCCCCGCGCCTTGGCCCCCAGCTCGCCCTGAGCACAGGCAGGCACTCACCACATGATCATGATGACGAGCTTCATGACGATCTCGTTCAGGATACTGAAGAACTCCACCATCAGCCTGGCCTGCTCGCCCATCTTCCCCATGGCAATGCCGAAGGCGATGAAGAACCCGATCAGGCCTGTGGCAGCACAGTGCACGGGGTTGGGGTGTGGCCCGTCAGCCCCGTGGGCAGGCACAGTGCATGGGGTCGGGGCATGGGGTCAGGGCGTGGCCCGTCAGCCCCGTGGGCAGTACAGTCAGTGCATGGGTTTGGGTCATGGCCCATCAGCCCCGTGGGCAGCACAGTGCATGGGGTCGGGGCGTGGCCCGTCAGCCCCGTGGGTGGGTACAGTGTATGGGGTTGGGGCGTGGCCCGTCAGCCCCGTGGGCAGCACAGTCAGTGCATAGGGTCGGGGAGTGGCCCGTCAGCCCCGTGGGCAGTACAGTCAGTGCATGGGGTCGGGGCGTGGCCCGCCAGCCCCGTGGGCGTGAACAGCACATGGAGTGGGAGCTGTTTCCACTCTCAGTGGCCACCGCAGGTCAGGCATGCTGTCAGGGGCGCCATGCCCGCACTCCTGTGGACTGCCAGGGTAACGGGGTGCCCCTGGCCGTCCCCACACACAAGTTAAGCCCTGAGTGGTGTAAGTTCTTTGAACGATAACTTCACTTTCGTTCTGAACTCGGCGCCTGCTGCTCTCCCCACACCTGAGGTCACGTGACCCATGTGTGACAGACCTGCGGCTGCAGAGGTTGGTGAGGGAAGGCCCGTGAGGACCTGGGGTCACCACAACTGAGCCAGGACTGGACTAGCTGAGGCCAGTGGTCAGTGAAAGCTGTGCAGGCCCCACCCTCGCGGGGTGTCAGCCAGGCTGCCGGGTGTGGTTGTTCACGCCCCACCTCCCACACATGCACCGTGAGAGGAGGGGTTCAGTCTAGTGGAAGGAGTAGGAGACCCAGGCCATGAGCCACCCCGTTGACCCGGTGTGCCAGGATTTACCCTGCCGCTCAGTAACGCACCAGGCCCTTCCCAGGGTCGGACAGAAGGCCCCTTCTCTCCACTCCACTTACTTCCTCGGGACACCGGCTCCTTCACCCGACTCCCGAGTTCCCAGCCCTCAGCTCCTTTCTATCCAGCTTACATCCATGTCTTCATGTAAACTCAGCCCGCACCCCTCCAGGGCTGCCCTGACCCCTCCAGGGCATCCTCATCCCCCCAGGGCCGTTCTGACCCCTCCAGGGCCGCCCTGACCCCTCTAGGGCATCCTGACCCCCCAGGGCCGTCCTGACCCCTCCAGGGCTGCCCTGACCCCTCTAGGGCATCCTGACCCCCCAGGGCTATCCTGACCCCTCCAGGGCAGCCCTGATGCCAGGCAGGAAGGGGTCAGAGGCTCAGGCCCCACCTTGCCCCAGGCCCCAACCAACTCCAGAACCTCACGGTCTTGCTTCCGTGCTGGCTGCCCCAGACCCCGAGGCTCTGCCCAGAACTTTGGCTCCTTTGGGACCACGCCCAGCTCTCCTCTGCCCAGAAGACGCCTCCCCTACCACGTGAGCCCTCTCCAACACTGGGCTGCAGCCTCGCCTGGGCCCACGCAGGGACCAGGACGTGCTATGCAGCTCACGGTGGCCTCCTGCCAACTCCAAGTGCCCCAGCCCACGGGGCAGTGCCAGGTCCCAGCTCTGAAGGCATGCAGGGACTGTACATCGAGGCCTGTGCCCCCGGCCCTGGAGTCTGCTGCCCACCCGCCGTCACCGCACCGGCAGCAGGGCCCCATCCCCCACCCCTGTCCCCCCCCTA